AATAAAATTTTATTTATTTATTTTTTTTAATTTTTTTTTTAACATTTATTTATTTTTGCGACAGAGAGACAGAGCATGAACGGGGGAGGGTCAGAGAGAGGGAGACACAGAATCTGAAACAGGCTCCAGGCTCTGAGCTGTCAGCACAGAGCCCGACGCAGGGCTCGAACCCATGGACCGTGAGATCATGACCTGAGCCGAAGTCGGCCGCTTAACCGACTGAGCCACCCAGGTGCCCCAATAAATAAAATTTTTAAAAATGTTTTATAAAGAAACTGAAACTGGAGGCAAAAGCCTGTGCTTCATAAATACCCGTATTACGAAAACTATGGAATTAATGGCTTAATAATTCTCAGATTAGGGCCACTTCATTTAATTTTAAGTAAGCATTTTTTTCCCTCAAGGAACATTGAAACAATTTTAAAATAAGTTCTTTGAAAGCAGGCTTTCCTTTTTCTTTCATTTTCTCACCTGCATACAAAATAGTAACAAGTACTCAACATCGGTAGTCGTCAGGAAAATGAAAATAAATAACATGATGAGGTACCAGTTCATCCCACCAGGATGGCTATGAGTAAGACAACAGCAGCAACACCCCCAACATAGAAAGTGCTGGCACGGAGGTGGAGAAAGGGGAACCCCGTACATCGTGGGCGGGCAGGTAAAATGGTGTAGCCTCTGCAGAAAAGTCTGGCACTTTCTCAAAGAGTTCAACACGGAATTACTCTATGACCCCGCATTTCTGCCCCTGAGTGCACGCCCAAAAAAACTTACAACAGGTACCCAAGCAATTACGTGTACATGCATGTTCACAGAAGCACTATTTACAGGAGCCACACCTCAAACGTGCATCAGTGGATGAATGGATATACGACGTGTGGTCTGTATATGCAACGCAGTGTTGTTATCCCGCCGTAAAAAGGAAGGAAGTGCCTATACACGCTACCGTGCGGATGGCCTCCAAAATACGATGCTAAGTAAGGCCAGACCCAAAAGGCCACATATGATATGATTCTAGGCATACGAAGTACCCACCACAGCCAAATCCATACAGATAGAAAGTACGGGAGGAGTTGTCGGGAGCTAGGGGGAGGAGTGAGTGGAGAGAGACTCTGGAAGGGCAGAAATGTTCTGGAATCAGACAGAGATAGTGCTTGCACAACCTTGGGAATTGTCGTAAATGCCACTGAACTGTTCGCTTTAAAGCGGTTAATTATGTGGTGTGTGAACCGAACCTCAATAAACTATTTTTTTGTAAATAGGAACGAGTCATAACAACGCAAAGACTCCAAGTGAGTAAGGTATTTTCACAAGAGGAAGTTAAATAATAAAAATGCGTGAAAATGCGTAACTTCACTAATAATAAAAAGAAGCGCCAAAGAAAACGAGGCTTGATTTAATTTGCAGCCTATTAGGGTATCAAGTTTTTGTTTTTGTTTTGCTTTGTCTTAATGAAACGCAGTTCTGGCGAGGATGTGAGGAATCAGTTACTTTCATTTGTTGCTGGTAATTTCGCAACTTGATACATTCCTTTTAAGAGACAGTTTGGCAGTATTAAAAAAAACGTTGAAATGCTGACTCCATTTACCCTAGGAAGACCATTCTTACCCAGTCCCCCTGACTCCTGTCCCAGAGGACCACTCCAACACAGGCTCGGCTGCCATCTAAGGCGGCTGACGGCCTGCTCCCCCCCCACCACCAGCCTGTTCTCTGAGCTTCTCAGAGGCACGGCCCCCGCTCTCTTCTCTGCATTCCCGGCATCATGTCCACTTCATACGTAGCCAGCTCGTAATCCGTGCTGACTGAATGGACGCAGGTTAGAAGGAAAGAACTGGAAAGGAATGAAAACAATTACGGAAGGGCTGTTGTTTGTTTGTTTGTTTGTTTTTAATTTTCAATGTATATAAATGTAACAGTAAATGCATTTACTGTGAGCAAGATGAAGGTCAGTATTTAGGTGATAGTTGATGACTATGCGGATGAACAGTCGATAATAAGGTGAGAGTTAACTATGGGACAGGCTAGGAGAAAAATCTTTCAATACGGCCCCCAAAATCTCTGTAACTTATTTCAGCCTATTATAATTACATTATGCACCACAAGTGAACAGCTAAACAGAAAACACATTCTTCGTTGCAGAGAGGTAAGAGAATTTATTGCAGGTGTTTCAATAATTCGGCAATTTTTTACCAAGTATTTGACCCTACGGAAGAAAACAGGGTGGTCAACACACTTTAACCTGAACCTCTTCTGTGTCCTAAGTGTCAAGAAATGTTTGCCCACTGGATTACTTGGTTTTGGAAAACTGCTTGAGATTTTAAGTGGCTATGTCGGTAAAGAAGGTAGGAATGCGGGCGAGAGGAAGAGGGCTTAACAGATTATTATCCCAGCAAACAAACCCGCCACCAAGACTGCCCCGTCCTCCTGCCTCCCGCTCAGACAGGACAACCACCACGGACTCCATCCCAGACAAGAATGCAAGACGCTGGAGGACTTACTCTGGAGGATGTGCTGTCCCCAGAACAACAAAGAAGGGGCCCACAGCACACCCCTCTGGATGGCTAGAACCTTGCTGGATTCGTCCTCTTCCTTCAAGAGGCTTCCCAAATGGTTGCAATGATCCTGCACTCATTTGATCAAAAGCTAAGGAACTAGAGGGCTCCTGGGCGACTTAGTTGGTTGAGCGCCCAACTCTTGATTTCGGCTCAGGCATGATCTCACGGTTCGTGGGTTCAAGTCCTGCCTCAGGCTCTTCGCTGACAGTGTGGAGCCTGCGTGGGATTCTCATTCTCTTTCTCTCTCTCTGCCCCTCCCTGGCACTCTCTCTCTCAAAATAAATAAATAAACTTAAAAAAACACAACAACAACTAAGTAATTAGGAAGATGTTTTTTAATCCCTAACACTTTATTACATAGGGATAACCCCAGGTAACAAGCGGTTTCATTCCAGGCTGTTTTTCTTAAATAAACGAATGCACCCATATACGGAAGCACATACAATATTATGCACGTTTTTACAAGATTGGTGTTAAACTAAATAAACTGTACAGACACTACAGTTTTGAGCCTTGCCCTAAAAAACGCAACTAATATATTCTCATTATGAAAAATACATAAAATAGAGTAAACTATTATTAAAGTCCTGCCTTCATTTCCCTATAGAATGATCTATATTCCAATACGTTGGTTCTTTTCAGTCCATCTATAAATCCACATGCGATTATCAAACATACAAACAGGCTCATACTGTGTGCATTTTCTAGGCCTTTATTTAGTTTGCAGTACAAGTTAGAAACCTTTCAATGATCGTCGCTACAGGTTGACCTCAATCTTCTAATATCTACATACACAGAATGGATTACAGCCCATTATTTGACTAATCACTAATTAACAGACATCGGTTTCAACTTCCTTCGAGAGGAATTAATGCTTCAATGAACATACTTGTAAATATTTTAGCTCTCAGAGTATTTTTTAGAATAAATTTCTGACAATGAGTCAAAGAACATACCTACTTGTAAAATTCAAAAGTGTCAGCGTGCATTAGAGAGACGCTAAAGACATATTACCATTGGAATTTTTTTGAATGTTCACTTATTTATTTTGGGAGAGAGTGAAAGCATGTACACAGGAATGGTAGAGAGAGAGGGAGACAGGGAATGCCAAGCCGATTCCGTACTGTCAGTGCAGAGCCCGACACAGGGTTCGATCCCATGACCCTGGGATCATGACCTGAGCCAAAATCAAGAGTCAGACGCTAAACCGACTGAGGCACCCAGGTGCCCCATCACTTAAATTTTTTAATTCTGATTAATTAAAATCTCCTCCACGTGGGCATTACCAATTTGCACTCTCATCCACAATGGAAGTGAGCGCCATTACCCCTGATATGGTCGAAAGGGGAGGAGGAATCTAATAATTATTAGTAAGGTTTGTAACTTTTATTTTTTTCCTCTCTCTCTTTTTTTTTTACATGAAAAAAAACTCTTTATTTTTATGGGGGGGGGGAGGACGGGCAGCGAGAGAGAGGGCAACAGACTCTGAAGCGAGCTCTGTGCTTTCAGCAGTGAGCCAGATGTGGGCTTGAACTCACAAGCCCTGAGATAATGACCTGAGCTGAAGTTGTACGCTTAACCAACTGAGCCACCCAGGTGCCCCTGTCACTTTTCTGTATGTTTATTTGCTTCCTTTGTAAATTGCTCTTTTCTTTTTAATTTGCGAGAGAGAGAGAGAAAGAGAGACCAAGGGCAGGAGAGAGGAGCACAGGAAGAGAGAGAGAGAATTTAAACCTGACGCAGGGCTCAATCCCACGACTGGGATCAAAACCTGAGCCAAAATCAAGACTTGGACGCTCAACTGACTGAGCCACCCAGGAGTCCCTAAATTGACCTTTTTGAAACTGTGCGGTCTGCCCTTCTTATTGATTTGTAGCAACCTGTGATATATGCTGGCATTAATCCTTTGTCAAGTGGCAAATATTTTTTTCCCACGGATATTACTTGTCCGTGAACTCTGTTTACGATGAGTATAATAAGACTGATTATTTAAAAGTGTTGGGAGGGCACCTGGGTGGCTTAGTCAGTTAAGCGTGCGACTTCAGCTCAAGTCATGATCTCACAGTTCGTGGGTTCGAGCCCCACGTCGGGCTCTGTGCTGACAGCTCAGAGCCTGGAGCTTGCTTTGAGTTCTGTGTCTCCCTCTCTCTCTGTCCCTTCTCCGCTCACACTCTCTCTCAAAAATAAGTAAACATTAAAAATAAAATAAGATAAAAGTGTTGGGAAAATTGGATGGCCAGTTAGGGGAAAAAAGCTAGGTCCCAGATCATCCTTCCAAAAAAAGTTAATTCCAGATAAATCAAAAGAATCGTATGGGATAAATGAAACTGAAGTACGAAACCAACTAGAACAAAAGATACACAAAAATTCTTTAAGACTTCCGGGTTCCATTTCCACATCCGGTGTTTCAAATTGTGGTCCTTTAACACTTGCCCTTGAAAATAAATACAATGAGAACACAATCATACGAGAAATTGTAAAGAGCTGCTGACAAGAGATGTTAAGCTTACAGGTTGCTCTCTTTGTTGGAAAGGCAATTAATGAGAATCAGAAAGGTGTTGAGGTCATACTAGCGCCAGACAGACTTTCTCCTTTACCTGACTGGAAGAGCTGAAAGAAAAGTAAAATAGAAAAATAATATGACTAATGTGATGTCCCTGTTCTGCTACCCCACCTTGGGAAAGCTGGTCCCAGACCAATGGAAGACCCCCAGCAAGGAGTTGGCATAACAGGGACAGATTTTAATTTAGGAAAGCGAACCTAACGGCAGAGCACTGAACGGAATGAAGCAGTGGTCCCCGAACCAACAGCGTTAGCATCATCTGGTGACTTATTAGAAATGCAAGTGATCGACCTCCCCCCCTCAAACCACGAAGTCAGGAACTCTGAGGGTGGGGCCGCACCCTGCTCCTGCCTCCGACGCCTGCTACAGGATGAGAGGCCCTGGACTGGAGAGACGCTGAAACATCTCAAGGTTCCATTTTACCATCACGTCGTAAGCAACGGCAATTGACAAGGAGAAAGGAAACCAACATGGTGGCAGAGAGGAGGGCTGTCTAGGGAAGGTGATAGCAGCATCTGAGGCTGCCGGGGAGGAGAAAAGCCTCCTAGTATATGCAGAGTTCTCGGCCATGGATATTTGGAAGTGGAAGCTGGATAAAGAAGTGCTGGAGTGTTACGGAAACAATGCGCTCCCTGCACACGAAAGAGGTTGACTGAGCAAGTCTCCGATTCTGTGCTTTGAGTAGAGCGAGATCAGGATGGGTAAGCAAAGTCATCGGGAATTAATTTAAGATATGCCATGTGTGAGGTGGCAGAGGGACACACAGGTAAAATATGGACCCAAATTTCCACAGGGGGATGGGAAGCTGGAAGAGATCAATGAGCCAGACGAGGCCTTGCTTGGGATGTGCCCACAGTCAACCGGACAAAAGCAGATGGCAAAAAGAAGGCTTAGAAAACGGACTTCCACCAGAAGAGGGAAAAAGCCCCAGTTCACTCTCTGATCGTTTCATTCCCGCCAATAGGAAGTAATGAGAAACTCCCCACAGAGGAACATTTCATTCACGCGTGCATCAGGTCACCAAATATTGACCGAACGTCTCATCCAAGCTCCGGACTTACAGGATGTGTGAGGCATGGGTCTCGTCCGTCCCCCAGTGGTTTCTCCACAGATGACCGGTGACCGGCTGCCCTCTAGATGTAGGCCTGGCCTAAAATTCTCGCCCCGTGATCGCCAAGTGTTTGCTTTGAAAACCCATCCCTGAGTGTGTGCCTGTTTGTCGTACGACCAGAAAATCACTGAATTAACACGAGGGAGGCCGTTCAGCCGAACACAAGGTAATCCTCTTAACACCGTATCAGACTCTCCACGGACTGAAGCACCCAGCTCTCTGGCTTATGTCCCACCAACCCCATGTTTGTTAAAAGGGAAGGAATCTCGGCAGCCGGGAAACCCGGCGGGCAGAGGCGACACGGGGACGGCCTCTCCTCCACACGCTGACCAGGCCTTCACTACCGTGCTCTGCTGCCACCTGACCACAGGGAGCAGCTGCTGCTCGTGTCGAGACCTCGTAACCCCAAGCCCAGCTGTTGTCGGTACTGTTTAACAGCGTTACTGGAGGGGCGCCTGGGTGGCTCAGTCGGTTAAGCACCCGACTTCGGCTCAGGTCCTGATCTCACAGTCCGTGAGTTCGAGCCCCATGTCGGGCTGTGTGCTCACAGCTCGGAGCCTGGAGCCTGCTTCAGATTCTATGTCTCCCTCTCTCCTGACCCTCCCCCGTTCATGCTCTGTCTCTCTCGGTCTCAAAAATAAATAAACATTAAAAAAAAATTTAAAGAAAAAAAACAGCATTACTGGAATGTAACTTCTGCACCATAAAGTCTGCCCGTCGCTTAAGCGTACAAATCAGAGACTTTGGGTAAATCTATGGAGTTAGAAACACCACGCAAGCTAAGTTTAGCACGTTCCCACCAATCCCTGAAGATCCCTTGTGCCTAGGTGCAGTCACCCCCTGATCCCTACCCCCTGCCCCCAGCAACCACCAATTTACCCTCTGTCTCTACAGATTTGCTTTTCTGGAATTTCACCTAAACGGAGTCCTACGGCGTGTGGCTTCCTGTGCCTGTCTTTTTATTCAGCACGTCGTTTGGGTTTTTTTGAGGTTCATCCATATTGCTGTGTGCGTGTCAAGAATCTGTTCCCTTTCTTGCAAAATAGTATTCTATTGTATGGATGTACCACGTTTTGTATCCGCTCATGGCTTTACAGACTTTGGGATTGTTTCTGCCAGTGTGAATAAGGCTGCTATAAACATGTGCAAACAAACTTAGCGTTTGCGAGAGGGAAAAAAAAAAAAAATGATCAGACTTCAAG